CGGCTCGAGCTGGAAAGCCCGTCTTGTGCAAACACAATGCAACCGAAAAATCCTGGTTATCGTGCAATACGATAGGCCAATACTTAATACAGAATTATTAAAAGTACCTAAATAGCTACATATTATAGTAATACATAAAACTAGGCCTCCTCCAAAAGACTTCAGGCTCCTCTGTTTACTTGTTTGTTACGGACAACTAGTTCCAGATTATTTTACTTTTAAAGTAGATAATATAATAATCTTTATTAAAAAAATAAATTTTACTTTAAATAGATTACAAATGAAATGTATATATTCAATCACACGGTTATGTAAACGTCCCATGAATATTTTGTTGCTTTAGACTAGCGGCCTCTAGACATTTTAAATTCATTTCAGATATGAGTAATTTCTAAAATTACAAAGATTTATCTTTACATTACTTAAATATATAAGTGCATCATGCCTGCGTCGATTATCATACAAAACGAAATTATGAATCACAGCTGTAACCTTGAGCCCGGGATCGAGTTCACAGTCGGCACACGTAGAGTATCCTCGTTTGTTTATGACTGTGTATTTTTTATACACAAACACTGATATGTAGGTCAATGTCATAGAAATAACAAAATACTTCTGAGTAATTGCCAAATTGAAACTGATAGCTGATTTGAATAAAACTAATTACTGTTTCAGGAATTTTTGTATTTATAATATATATATGCCAAATTAAATGTATCACTATCAAATATTAATATATTACTAGTTAAACCCGCGGTTTCACCCGCGTGAATAGATAGCCTATATGTTATTCTTATGTATAAACTATATTACTCTAAAGTTTCATGAAAATCCGTTTAGTAGTTTTTGCGTGAAAGAGTAATAAACATCCATACTCATAAATTTTCGTTTATAATAATAAGATTTATTACATTTTACAAGTTTCACATTATATGTAAGTAGAAATGCTGCTGTGCGAAACATTACGAACGCGTTAACATTTTTCCTTCAGTTTAAAAGACATCAACGCGTTTTGTCATAATGTGATATGTTTGCTTATAATTAATCACTTAGATTATTTGTTGTTATTATGTATAATATTTCCGTTATCTCTTGTATTATTCCTGTTTATTTCATTGTTGTTACAGACACATAAGTGTCTAATAATTAGTTTGTAGTCTATGAAGACTACAAATTAATTAATATTTTATTTAACATTGTTGCTGTATATTTTATTTTCCCATAGAGGATGGAAAAAAAGTAATCACATATATTAAATACATAGCCAATAATTACGGAAATTCGAGGTTAGATATATCTTTGCAGTTTCAAATTTTAATAACTAACATGTACAACTACCTAACCATAACCTAACCATAAAAGTAATATCGTAATTTCAAGTTAACTATAACGAAATGATAGCTTAAGAAATAATTGAGAACATTTTATGAAAATTATCAGGTCATATGTCCTTATTGTGATCCAGAGAAAGCGGCTTATTCACCCGATATGGCGCGACGTGTAGCCGCGCGGCACGGTTAGATAATCTCATTGTGTCGTAATATAGATCCTAACATGCAATATTTAATATACGTATTATTGTATTTGGATATATATCGTGATTATGTTCTTTGGAACGTGTGGTAATCTGGTAGATAGATTACCACACGAGTCGATGAACATTATAACAATATATTTCCAAATTCCATTTTCCATATCTGATGTATGTGTATATATTTATGTCTTTATTTTATTAAATTTATAAATACATATATTCTTATTAATTATACTACCTATATTAATTTATATATGTTTGCATATATTTGTGTATATTTCATTGTGACGCGTGTTATTTATTGTAACTATTTCCACCACTCCACAATTCTTCTCAGTCACTCAATGGTTGACTGGAAGAAATCGTTCTTTTGGGATAAGTTCGCCATTGTGCACAATTATTCTTTAAGTCAATTGTGTCCTTTTATTTATTATTTTATTGTACAACAAAGTATTAGAAATAATACTGGAATGTGTTCAGTGTACGTTAGATAAGGTCTAAAATTACTATAAATAGCTATTATAATTAAGATTAAGGTAGAGTAATGAGATGTAAGAAGATCAAATATACAAGTAACATCTTCTGTAAAGGAAGGAGGTGAAAGAAGAGAATGATTAAACGAGAGCAGGGAAAATGCACAAGACCAACTCTACAATTGCATATATTTTTAGTAACTAATATCCTATATAAAACAATACGGTAATTGTAAAAAACGCATAGAAAATAAAAATATATATAAAATAGTTTCCAATACCTTCGTCATATGTTTTAGTCTCAGCCATAAGCCAATACAATATTTTTGTCACTAGAAGAAACGAATAGCACCAATTGTTTTGAATCAACTGTCATTGCATAGTGCCAGGATTTAGCAGTATCACTAGACCAAGATGGAAAGACTAAGACCAAGAATGTATGAAAAATCATTATAATATATCGTTATAAAAAAATTACTATTATGCAGACAATCACACAATATCTTGGTCCTAAGAACGTTTAAAAAAAGTCAAGGTATTTGCTATTGAAATAATATTAGGCACAACACTCAATGCCAAATCCAATATTTATAAATATCGCTTTCGCGGAAGCCCGGGCAGAGCGGATAAGTTAAGGATAAGCAAAAAAATAACACAGAAATAATCAACTTAGGAACATCGTTTATTTTTTATTTATGGCACATATAATCTTTTGCAAATATAACATGCAATATTAACAAAATATAATATATTCATATAGAAAAAAAAAATTAAAAACCTCTTCCATTATTCGTTTTACCCGACCGGGCGGGTAAAGCGAATAAGCTAGTCGGGTAAAGTGGACTAAGATGTTACTCCTGACAGTCATCGCAGAAATAACTGCCAAGTCCATCATACAATGTACAGTATCCATGTGCCCAACAGTGGCAGTCTGAGCATTGGATCCAATCATAGGTGGATCCATATACTCTTCGGTGCAGACCAGGCATGAATGAATACATCCCTTTTACTTTTTTCGTAATATTATGTATTTTTTTCTGTTTTTCCTCTCGTTGTTATATTTTCCTTTCCTTTTCCCTTTTTTTTGACATGTAAATCGAAGATTTTAGTTTTATTACCATTTTTTTATATTTTATGCCTTGTTCGTTTTTAACAGGTGTAGAAGTTAATACCATTGACTTTTGGCATCTGCATTTCTTATTAGTTTTTGAAGTAGCCATAGTTGGTATTGGCCATATTGCGTATGGCGAAATGGTAACTGTTGCTGAAGATAAATTAGCCATCTCTTGTACGTTAGACTGTATAGAGGTCGATAATACTTGGCAGATATGTTCTGTCATAGAAGAAGGACCTGGTATACAGAATGACGCATATTAGTATGGCTGCTATGGCTGGCATCAAACTCTGTATCAAACTGTGAAATATTGCCTTTTTATTATAAGGGTTAAAGCAGATAACTTATCCGCTTTGCCCTATCCGCTTTGTCCAAAACGTGTATTTCTAAGCATACCTACTTTTCTTAACATTTCAATACAGGCTCAATATAATATTAATATCACAAATAATACTAAAAACATTGTTAATCTGCAAAACTAAATCATTCCTGAGTTAACTAACAGTAAAAACAAATTAAATGAGAACAAACCTGATCGAAAATCATAAGAAAAACACTCAATACAATATTTTTGTCACTAGAAGAAACGAATAGCATCAATTGTTTTGAATCAACTGTCATTGCGTAGTCAGAGGGGTCACTTATCTATGTAGCCGCAACTTGTAACACCATCTCTTAATGTTTTTCAGAAACATCACTTATTCGCTTTACCTGGGTTATTCGCTATGCCCGGGCTTCTAATCATCGCCTATGCGTTTACATGCATATTCTTGTAGAACCCATACCATCTTCAATCAAAAAACAGCTTACACAGCCATCTGGCTGTGTATATTCCTATGTGGACTTTCAAAAGTATTCGAACGTAACGAAATTTCTTGAAAGTCCACATAGCAATAGTAAATAACAGATACCAAGTCTTCATCTATCTTTACAATCGGTCGGCTTTAGAATATTTAATATGCCAAAAAAACATAGCAAAAGCCTTGTCAAATTGCCAAAGTCTTTCAATGGTGATTTGTATACGTGCAAGTAGATACTAAACTAAAAACTAAAGAGGTAAATGTGCCTCGCGTGGGCCACAATTATGGTTAATTTGATTGGCGAAACTGATGTTTTCACAAATCGCTGTAATAAAACTGTGCTATGCAACAATGTAACCTAAAACTATAGCAAAACAAAATTAAATGGCAAACCAGAAGGAGGGTCCACCTGATATGATAAAAGGTTAGCTATAATCATAGTGCACGACAATAACGTTACCTGTAATACCCACAAAAGCTATAGTTTCAATGCAAACATTATACAATGTGTTGTATAATATTTGAAAGGTAAAATATAGATAAACCAAATATCTGTAATTTTTGTAGATAATCTGTAGTTCAACAGTATATAGCTCATAAAGCAGTTTGATTTTGTACAAAGCCTAGTCAATACCTACACACTTTCTTTGTCCCCTTTCATTATTCATCTCATACATCCACGCTGATTTCGAACTCTGTTTACAGAGTTATACCTATATTCTATTATTTCCTAATATTTGATTCAGAAGTCACAGTTAAATAATACAGTAATTTATAATGTACAGTACATCAAATATACACATTAAAAATCACAGTGCAACCGTACAAGATCCGTAAGTACGACCTCGATCTTACCCCTATTGCTTAACTTCTACTTGGAAAATACTTATGAATGAAACAAACCAAGGGTTGATCAATGAGCGTCGTAATTGACGTCATCGCCTGTACCACTATACAGCCAAATCTACAAACTATCGTGAATTCTCACCGAGACGAAGCCATATTCTGTCGCTTATTAACTAAATGTCGATGCAGTGGTAGGTGTCTCAGACGGTCGTCTTACAAAATCAGCCTGCGTGCATCTTTGCGTTCGTCGATGTATAAAGCGTCGTGGTGGTAGATTTGACAGTCATTCGGAGGCAAACAGTGCGCCGGTGCAGTGGTTAAACTTATATTACATCATCTAAAGTGATACGGTAAAGATAGCTCAAGCAAAAGTAAGTTGTTTTAAAGTGATACGTTGTTAACAATCTGGATTCAAATTTATAATAGTTCAATTTAGAAAAATAAACTGAGCCGGATACAACAAGAAAAAAGTATACTGTAACCAAATTACTACTTGCATTTTAAATATACTACCAGTATATACGAAAGTTCGATCTAGTGCAACAACTCCACCTCCTTGCACTTCGTCAAATCAGTGACACCATAAATTTTTTTCCGAACTAAAATAATGGTTTAATCATAAAAAGTGCTTAATATTGCTACGTGACTATAAGTAGCATAACTTAAATCTACACATTATCATTAAGTGTGCGTTTTTTTAATTTTACACATAAACTAAGTAAGTATTAAAACATTATCAAATACATTTAGATACGCCTCATCTACGCTAAATATAAATGTATAAATTCCTTTTCATAAATTATATTTTACCTTAACTACATATAATTAATTTTATGCAATTTTAAAATTAAACATTATATTATATTGTATATATGTAACTATATACCTACATAAGTTTGTCCGTTTACCGTTAACCTGTTTAAAACTGATCCTCGTGGATGCGTTTTGCTTTCACTTTTCTTAGAGTTACAGTAATGCGCAACAATCAGAGGATCAATTAAGTTATATAGTGAATAAGAAAGCTTATTTGTATCTCGTATCTAATTATTATAGTCTTTTATGTATGATGTTGACTAAAGGTTAAACAAATTTCTTGTTGAAAACCAAAACAAAAACAATTACGAACATAAACTATTTAAAATATAAAGAAAAACAATGTGCGAGACATTATTTTTTTAGATATCGTAATATTATTAAGTTAATGCGAATAAATGGATTTCAACTTTACAACTTTTCGATTACAACTTTCAATCTGTCTATGTATATTCCAACTACGAGACTACACTGGGCTCATAGAACTTTCATCGCAAACAGTCGTGTCATCGTATTTACTATTAATAAAACAAAACAATTAATTTCTCATACTTTCTGCGTTATTGTGTGCCGTCGTGGAAATGGCAGCTTGATTCAGATCTTTCATTATTACGAACACAATAGGAGAAATTTACATAAAGCGGTCTCGTAATAAGTAGTTCAACTTACACTGTAGTTGCATAAAAAGCAAGATGGATTTCCGAGTTATATAACAAGCATTACACGAAAATGACGCATCAGTCGAATCGCGCGACGCTTACAAATAGATGTGCCGGTTACGGAGCGACACTGACACCAATAGCACTTTCTTTCATAACAATAACAATGGTGTGACACCAATTGCATAGGCCAATTATGGCACACGCAATATCTGCCTTACAAAGTTTACTCGTCTACATTTAAGTCTGGTTTTTTTCTTATTTATTATCCTTTTTCGGTAAGCAGCGATAAATGAAATTGATTTCCATGACTAATATATTACGACGATGTTGTTTACTAAGATCCAATCCTATACGTAACTGTATTCCAAGTTAATACGCGTGAGAGTGCTTTCGCTAGCCCACGCCACGCCAGCTAGGCTGCGTCAGCTCTGCCGCCACAGTGCGCTGACATTATGGAGAGTTATATAACTTCAGACTGTCACGCGAAAGTAAAAGTGATTCTTTGCCTACCAAAGTTTCGAAACAACGACATGCTTTATAAATGTGTATTAAATCATATCTAATTATATCCCTTCTCACCATTTTTTATTACATTTTTCAGAAATGCGGTGGTTTACATTCAGCTGCATATTACTGTCATTGCTATTAGGAAGTACTTTAGCGGAATGGTCATGGGGTGAAAAATCAAGCGATCAAACTAAAGAACTAGACAATCAAAAATCTACAGAGTTACTGCAAGGAGAGAAATTGCCTGAAGCACAGGAAAAAAACTTTGAGTCTAACAGCACTGTGCTTGATGATATCGTTGACGAATTGGTCAGCAGCAAACAAGGCAGAAGTTTGGGTGGTTTTGATGGTGTTGATGATGTGTACAGCGATCCCACAATCAAGGAAGCCTTGGATGCAGGTGATGACGCTGAAGCTAGAAATCTTATCAAAGGACGTCTCTGCACACTAGGGCTTATTGAAGTAAGTGTAAATATACTACCCACTTTTACAAAATTTTCTAAACTAAAATTGTAGCACTAATTAAATTTTACTTTTAGTGTGACGAAGAATCTCAGGAAAAACGTACTTACTTGTCACCCGATGAACTAATTTACGCCCAACCAGTTGATATAAAACCTGTTGGTAAACCAATTGCATCAATCCCTGTACGTGGACCACCTAGAGCTTATGGACCTCCAAAACCAATGCCATATCCGTCCCGCCCACAGAAGATTCCACCAAAGCGTGTAGGATATGGTGGCAACTACGCGAACAACTACCGACCAGGTTTTTCTGAGAAATACGGCGTTGCAAGCAATAACTTTCAATTTTCTCAAAGCAGTGGACTATATAGTGGACATGAATCTAACTACGTAACAAAGCCGCCAAGCTTTCCTAGTGAATCTCCATATGCCTTTGAAAATTCTAAACCAATTTACAACAAAGGGCCCATCACACAGTCTTCCAGCAAAACTGAATCAGTTGTACAGCAACATGTTCACCATCACTATGTTCATGGTGAGGGTGATAAAGAACCAAAAGTAATTATTAAGCCAGTAGCAATACCAGTAGGATCTATTGGACACCTAGAATCTATCGGAAGTCTAACCTCACAGTCACATGCACAACAGTCAACCGATATAATAACTGGAGGTGGAAATGATTTTAGCAGCGTACATTCAGGTGGTTTTAAACCTATGACAGGGGGCTACTTAGAAAACAAACCAGTTTATGAAACTGACACAATCTATGGTTCTCAATATAGTCACAATGGTTTTAACAAAGGTAGCTCTAATATTTTAACACAGTCTTTGCCAAACCTCAATTCTAACAATGGTTTCGAAGATCAAAAATACGGCAATTCGTTGGGTGCTTATGCTACTCAAAATAGCGAATTTTATAAAAAAGAGTTAAATGTAGGATCTACAGACAATTTATACAACCGAGCTCCCGCTACATTTGGTCAAAATAATGTATATCAAAATAATTATCATGAAGCTAAAGCTCAAGGATTTGACTGTGTCTGCGTAAATTACGATCAATGTCCTAGTCAAGAAATTATTGGCCGTAGAGATGATTTGTACTTACCCATTGATCCACGTAACAAAGGAAGTGACATCACTGCTTTAACGGAAGAACAATTGGACAATCTTACAAAGGTGGATGCCTCTGAAAGCATTGTCGAAAGAAAAGGAAATGATACAGAAACTGATGTAAAAAAAATAAGCAAACGAGAAACCAAAGATGACGATAGTACTACAGAATCTTCAAAGGAAATTCAGCCGGTATGTAAACTTTACTTACTTTTCATAACAAAATATTCAAAATTACTAATATTTTTTGCCAGATGCATCAGTATTCCATTTTATCATTACTTCCATGAACTATTATACAATCATAACACTTATTTGAACTCGTTTATGTGTGTACAATATATAACATCAGTGAAGTATAATTTAATTATGTTTCATCATCATTTACTATATAAAGCTATGTCTACACTTACTTCATTTACTAATTGTGATCTCAAATATAAATTGAAATAATATCAATAGTTAAAAATATATTTTAAAAACAAATTGTTAATGTAGACCTAGCTTAAAATTGGGGTAACCTCTGTTCCATTCGGTCCAGGTTCGTTTTAATTATTTGTATTGAGCTACGTCCGTTTGTAACAGCTTACAAAAGAAACACTAAACAATGGGCACTTACATGAAGCTAACACGAGGTAGAAGTAAAGTTTCGTTTACTATAACAAATAAATATGACCGCAGCGCCTCATTGGATTGGCCGGATATGGCGGCAATGGCGGCAATAACAACAAACAAGTGCAGCCCACGTTTGGTGTCTCTTTTGGGTTGCCCCAACCAACATATGGTGGATATCCCATCAATCCTTTTAACTCTAATCCTCTTTATAACCCTTATGGTCCAGCTCTTAATAGCGGCGGTCTTAATTTGGGCCTAATTTCTGTAAATCCTTTATTATCAGTTCAAGTTTCAAAAAATGATTATGGTGAAAAAGTAGTAAAGCCCTTTGTAAATTTACATGTGACCCCTAACGAACACGTAGTAGATAAATTTAAGCACCTATTTCATGAAAAAAAATTGTATTTACTTAATAAACATGAGCACTATCACCACTTTACACATCCTCATCATTTTAATCATTATCATAAACCAATTCCTCCTCCTTATCCCCATTATCCCCAACATCATGGTCCACCAGTCTACTCCCCGCATTACCCACATTACAAAACCATTTACACAAATAATCATCCATATGATGGTCATCCCGAAAATCACGGTAATGATGATTACTACGATGACGAGGATAATGTAGGACACTATGATGACAATAATGATTACCTTAATCAAAATTATGGTTTTGAAAGATCAGCAAATACTAGTGCAAATGATAGACAAAGTAATTATGCCACAAGATATTCTTATTCCCGTTCCTTGACCCTCCCACCAAATCATGGGGCAAGCCGCGGAGGCCAAACCGTTCGCTTTCCTGAGAATAGAAAGAAGAGAGAAATCAATATTGAAAACCTTAATAAAAATATAGAAGAGGTAATCCACAGCCAGTAATCCATCCATCTATACCAATAAAATTATACAGGTTTATAAAATATTCACTAGCTGACATGGTTTTTCATTTAAATTTCAGCGTCAAGGATACATAGGGCAACAACCTGTTCAACAGTGCCGCCCAAATCAAGTTTGCTGTAGAAGACCACTTCGACCTCAAGCAGGAAACCGAGGCCAGTGTGGTATCAGACACTCCCAAGGAATTAACGGCAGAATAAAAACTCCAACATATGTCGATGGCGAAAGTGAATTTGGAGAGTATCCATGGCAGGCAGCTATATTAAAAAAGGATCCAAAAGAATCTGTCTACGTTTGCGGAGGAACGCTTATTGATGGGCTTCACATAATCACAGCAGCCCATTGTATCAAATCGTAAGTATAACCATAAATAGTTATAAAGATATACGTAAAGTTTTGTTATTTATTATTATAATGTATCATCATAATAACTTCCTATTTTATATAGAAAAACTTATATTTCCGTTTTACCATTTCAGATACAAAGGATTCGAATTGAGAGTACGCCTCGGTGAATGGGATGTTAATCGTGATGTAGAATTCTATCCTTACATCGAAAGAGACGTTGTATCGGTACACGTTCACCCATTATACTATGCCGGTACATTGGACAACGATCTTGCTATTCTCAAATTGGATCATCCAGTCGAATGGACAAAATATCCGCATATCAGTCCCGCCTGCCTGCCTGATAAATATACAGACTACTCTGGACAGCGATGCTGGACAACTGGTTGGGGCAAGGATGCGTTCGGTGACTACGGCAAATATCAAAATACTCTAAAGGAAGTAGATGTACCCGTACTGTCTCACGGGCAATGTCAACAACAGTTAAGACAAACCAGATTAGGCTACAATTATGAACTAAATCAAGGATTCCTTTGTGCTGGTGGAGAAGAAGGCAAAGATGCCTGCAAGGGCGACGGTGGTGGCCCATTAGTATGCGAACGTGGCGGTACTTGGCAAATTGTAGGAGTGGTCTCGTGGGGCATTGGCTGTGGTCAAGTTGGAGTACCCGGCGTCTATGTCAAAGTAGCCCACTATCTAGACTGGATCTCGCAGATTACGGGCAAATTTGCGCCATACTGAAACTTTCTATGAAGTCACAAATACGACTGAAGACAACCCATAATTATATTTATTTCTAGGTATTAGACCTATTTATTAATTATAATTTATTATATTTTAACTTTGGAAGGTAATATCCAGAGATTACGAGTAATTGCTTATGCAGATATTATAAAATATAACTAAAGTGAAAATTTACTTATGCCTTTTTTTACTTATACCTCTGTTGATTGTAAAAAGACACCACATATACCTAAGTACTACATATATAGAGGCAATGACTTTTTAGTGGAGTAACTTGAAACAGTCATATCTACTCACTATAAAGTTCATACTCGTAGCGGCGTGGTAAGCTAGGGCAATGTGCTCCCTCTAATATTATTGAGTGATGATGAGTGGCTCATCCGTCATACTCGTGAAGGGTGTTATTATGCTAGGTGGACTATTCGGGTTACGGCCACTGACTAGACTATTTCCTTTTGACAAATGTGTAAATTTGAATTTAAAATTGAAGTTGATTTTTTATTAACATGTACAAGCTTGTTATAATAGAAAAGAATAAGAGCAGAATTTCTTGTCAGTTCTTCTTAGCTCAATAGCACTACAATCTGACGGTAGGTACATTATTTGACAAATCATAAGATTCTGTAATACCTACATGAATAAAAATATTTTTATTTTGATTGATTTTTACAGATAGTTCTTATAATTCATTTGTTTTCATTCTAAATTTCATAATATCGAAAAAGTTTGCAGTGATTATGTACTACTAGTACATAATTACTGCAGACTTTTTCGATATTACTAATAAGATAAGCACGCATAATTTCTACATAGCAAAAACGGAATAGATAGGTAGGTACTACTGCCACGAAACATGTTCATTTAAAGTATCTGGAGTATCATTATATACGTACCTGTAACAATAAGTCAATATATATATATGACTATGTACACAAATCTTTTACTGTACTATATATTACGATCCAACATATTATCAAGAAACTCCTTTCATTATTCGTATTTGACAAGCATTTATTTGTTGTCACAATTGATCGATGATTTGTTGACTTATGATCTGTATTACTTAAAAAGTTTCAACAGTGTATTTTTCTTTGTACTTCCGTCATATTAATTAGTTAATTATTAGACAATAGAATAGACTGTGGCTGTCCTATAAAATGGCAGGAAAAACAACAGATCGAAAGGGAAAAAACAAAGACGCAAAACCAATATTAAACGAAATCACTGGCACGCTAACAACATTTACACTACCTGAGAGTTTATCTTGCTCTGAAGTGGAATTTCCAGTACTTATAAAAAAGACGACCAAAGCAAACTGGCTTGAGATATTAGAAGAGAGTAATAATAAATTAAAGGAAATTGAGGAGTATACAGAAAATAAAAAAGACCCCATTCCAAAGGCTCCTTTTCAAAGTAAATTTACTTATTAATAGAGAACAATTTATTTTAATAATAATAACCCCATTCAATTCACACAGCGCCATCTAGGCAAAGCTTGTGTTACTAGACAACTGACAATAATGTTTAAATATAGGTATAGGTATTTGTTGTAAACACTTACATAATATATACATAGAAAACACTCAGCAGTCATACCAATACAAATTATTGTGCCGTTCGAGGAATCGAACCCGCGACCATTGGGAGTAAAGCAATGTGTTAAAGCATATGCGATACATAAGCGAGACTATAGAGGCCGTCGATTCTTTTTTTTATACTGAGTAGGTGCCAAAAAAGCATACGGTCCGATTGCAAATGTTTACAGTAGCCTATGGATCTGAAAGGATGACCAGGATTATCACGTGCGTGTTGCCGACGGATAAGAAACCTTAAAATGCCCTTCTTGAAAAACCCTTCTAATAAATAAATAAATAAATAAACCCCATGCGGTAGTGTCTCCAAAACACCTCTGCAGGTCGTTCATTTAATAATCTAGGTGTATGCGGAAGGGAATCCTCTGATACCGCACTGTCTTCTGTCATCTCTCTCCTTAGATTAAAATAACGTAATTCAGGATATGAGTATTTAGCCCAAAATGGTAAAGGATTTTATTTCGAGTCTACTTTCTAAAACCCACGTTATGTAATATTATGTTATCTGTGCCCATGTAGACAGCTATTTACAGAGTGGTGGTACCTTAGTCGCACCTATTTCAGCGGCCAAGCCGCTTGCTTTTAAAAATTTTTTCCTAGGCGTCACATGATACATATTCAACAGTGTTTTTATACCTTACCTCAAAAGTTAAGAATAACATAATCAACAATCAACATAGCGCTGTTTTTGACTGAATTTTTTACTTATATTTATTAAAAAATAAAAAGAATGTTTCACAGTTTTAGTTTATTTTTATACCCTTTTCCAAACATATATCAATAGACAGCGATCAATCACATTTTTATTATATTTATACACGACTACCTGTGCCCGCGGTTGCACCCGCGTTTTATTTCAATATAAAATATAGCCTATGTGTTATTCTGATGCATAAGCTATAAAGTTTCATCAAAATCCGTTCAGGGCATTTTTGCATAAAAGAGTAACAAACACTCGCAAACTTTCGCATTTATAATATTTCTAGCTGTCCCGGCAAACGTTGTTTTGCCATATAAATTAATAACGCTATAAAAAAATAGGAGTTGATGATAGAAGGGTGAAAATTTAGGATTGTATGTATTTTTGTATGTTGTATCATAAAAAAATAAACTAAAAATTTTGTCTAAAAAATAAAAAGAAAAATTTAGGGGTGGACTACCTTGGCCGATTCTTAGACCTACTCAATACGCTCACAAAATTTCATGAGAATCGGTCAAGCCGTTTCGGAGGAATATGGGAACGAAAACTGTGACTGTGACTGAGAATTTTATATATAAGATTTATGTTGAAGTCTTAATAAGATCATTATTATTTTACTTCACTTGTATAAGAAGTATAATTCAAAAAACCTTTAACACTTTATTACACAGAAACTGAATGTGACTACATACAAAATGAAGTATTTGTATATCTTATACCTGCACTAGAAGAAACATTGAACAAAGCGAAGATTTGGGATGCCCTTGTAAGGCAGAAATGTTTCTTCAATGGAATAGATCACATGGTCCAAGTAATTTTTAAACGATGTTATATCAGTTTTTGTTATAATATTATTGTAGAATAAACATATAGTTGAAATATACGTATATATTATTTATGTATTAATATTTCCATCTTGCATGTTCTACTAAATGTTTATCAAAAACTCTCGGATTCCATTAGCTGGATTATCGGTGTCTCCATCACCGGGGAATGATTGGAATGGGTTTGTTAGTAGACTAATAACTTTACTGCTAGCAATATACTACGTCAGGTTGACCTCCATGCAGTTCTCCATGGAAACCTGAGAGACACTATCGCCTAACTGACCTGACCTCATTCTCATCTTATCATCCTCCACAGGTGACCCGCCACCGTAATCCATTAGCCCATGTGTACCATTCCATTAACATCAATTTGACAACCTCGGTGGTCTAGCCATCTAGCACACCGCTTTACGTCCGAAGATCGCGGGTTCAATTCCTCATACGGCACAAACATTTGTATTTACGAGTATTATTGTTTGTAACGACATGGGTGTATTTTATGTATAATCTGTATCTATGTATTTACGAAAAAAAATCTATGTATTTGTATCAGTTATCTAGTACCTATGGGACACAGTCACCTAGATACATCAAAATAATAATTGCATTTAATAATGTCTAGTAAGACAAATTCAATATTGTCTACTAAGCACTGCTGTGTCTAAACTGTGTCACCCCACCTTACATTTTCCTATTGTTATTTAGTATATAAGATCATTATTTCTATGTAGATATTGTCAGTTTATTATCATCTGTAATATACATCGTCTCAACCAACAACATCGTATCATTCACCCGCAACAGTACCCATTACAGCATTAGCTTTAGATAGCTTAACTTGGGTATAGATAGCGCTGTGTGAATTGTCTTGAGATTATTATTATTATTTAAATATACACAAATGTAAAGACTTTTTTAGTAAAAAAAATAGAAAATTTTTAAGCGTGGAACATATTTGAACACAAAATCTATGAGTCATGGTAGTAAACCATTAGGAGACGATGCTATCTGTTTTCTCCGTCTGCTGACTAAGTAGATATCACATAATCAGTGCCGAAAATTAGACATGAGCTGTACTTAATGGCTAAAGAGCCTAAGATTCGAGATTAGCACCAGATCCCTGTTCGGAACAGCGATGTTGTGCATCGTTGTTCTGAACGGGCATCTGGTTAAGATGGCCATGACGATTGTCAACCACCAGGAGGATTGATAACTACATAAGAGACGAATAGTATAGTAAGAAAAAAAAATTTTGATAGTTAAATATAATTAATTCTACAGGTCTTATGGAACAATAATCCTCGTTATCCAGAACGCAAAGACAACAATTTACATTTGTTTAATATGCCATGGATTCGAAAATACCTTAAGGACAAGTAAGTAAATTATAGTTATTCTTACATCTGTAATTATTACTAACCTTTATTTATTATGACTGCCTCGGCGGTCTAGCGTTTTAGAATAGATACCGGTTTACTTCCAATGATACAAACATTTGTATTCAGAGTATAATCGTTTGTGTCATTGGCTGGGTATTTTCTATGTATATTAATATGTATTTACAGAAAGTTTTTATATCACTTGTCTAGCACATGGTAACTGAATCGAATATTGTTCTAACGGGGTATCCCTAAGCTATTCCTAACTTTGTAATGATATTAAAGTTGTTATACCTTAACAAATTGGTTTAACTATTATTTGTCTATGTATGGTAAAATAATTGAAAATTACAATGTTATAAAATTCAATAGCTTAGGAGTAGCAAGCCACAAATCAATTTTCGTATTTATCCTATGACAAAGCCCACAATATATATTACTATTCAATATACATATAATTTAATGATATTGGAGTATGTTACAAAGTTTGTCTGCAATGGTTATCTTCTTGTCACTTTAGTATTTTAGTGTAAAAGAATTTCCACTTTTAGCCCACGGCCCTTCTACCCCAAATCTTGGCTATGGCCTGAAAACTATGCTGCTACACTAATACAAAAAACGGTGCGCCAATACTTTGTACAACGTGAGGATGACGTGCAAGAAATGCGCGGCTTTTGGAAGGTATTAAAGGTTCCTACATTCAAACTACCTGATTGATATCGTAATATGAATATCTGCTAGTTACTACTCATATTATGATATCATTCAGGTAATCAGCGCCGTAACCAAAATCTCTTATATACCACCATGGTATACCATTAGCGCAGACAGATGCACTATTTCATCATGATCCATTAAAAAAACATTGTATGATTCCATTCTCATAAGCAAGTCCATAATGCACTTCATGGATTCTATTTTGGTTTCGTTCTCCTAACTTTATGTATATACATATAATAAATTACATAATGTCTGACAGTATCATGTAAGATTTACGATAGGTTCTTACCTGAATAAGCGTTTATTTATTGTACCGATATTTTTTAGTCTTGCTTTATTTAATTTATACAGTCATTATATTAGGCACAACTCTACAATTTTGCTGCGAGGGATAGATTACGTGAAATTCTATTCAGGCTAAATGAGTGTTAACTAGTAATAGTATTAACTACAGTTAACTGCTGAAATTTGTGCACTTAAGAATAATCTATTGATGTTTTCAGAAACTTGAAGTGGAGCGCACGGTCCCTAATATGGACACGAATCCATATTTGTATAAAAAATTTGCTTCCCTCCAGAAGTTCCGTAAAAACTGAATAATAAAATAAGAATAATATTCATTTCCAAATTTATTTATTACTATAATTTCACTTCCTAATATTTTCTAAATGATTACATTATTACTATATAAATTTATTTCTTTTAATTAAGTGGTACTCCCTCATATAATGATGGACTTGCTGGCTTCCCAAGCCCCATAGTAAACACAAGTGTAGGTTTTTCTCCAGGCTTTGCAATCCTTTGTACTCTATTTGGACTGTGCTGATAGGATATTGGAATAATAAACTCCTTCATTGGCTGTTAAAGTAAACAGATGTGATGTGTAAGTTATAGTACAAATTACTATAAGTAATTGGAAGTGCACCTTAACAATGTGTTTAAGCTGACTTTTTAGATCATTTTAAGTCTGCTTAATCATAAGTTAAGCTGTACTTCCAATTATTTTATTCTTATCACCAGATATATTTTTAATGCTTCATATCTCACATTCAAAGATCTATCTCGTGTACCATAAGGAATGCGTATATTGAGTAAAAAAAGAAAATCTCATTCTTATTCAAGGAGTAATTTACATGTACCTTCTGCTATCAAGAAATTACACTTGCTTGAAAAGTAACAATTTAAAAGAAGATAGCTATAATAGGACATTGCAAGATATACATAAACTCTTGACAAGTGACAACTTATACTACTCAATTCTAGAATATGAAATTATACACACATTTGTTAAAACTAAATTTAAATCTGTGGTTTTAGGTAGAAACAGAACATGATACATTCAGACCGGAGATACGGTAGTTAAATAAATACACACCTCTAATCCTTTTTTCTCATGATCTTTTACAATGAATTTTCTCATTAATGGCGGCATCTCTATTGTATTTGGTAAGATCACCTCACTGGGTTTTTGAACTTTGTCTACAGAAGCAAACAAAATTTCTTCTTCATCTTTTGGTATTAATTTATAATCTGGTTTATATGATGTCCTATATATTTCTGTCAGGTTTGGCAACTTTTTGCCTCTGAATGTTTTCTCAACCCATATTCTCACTCGACGTCTTTCCTGAAACAAATATCAGTATTTATGTAATATTGTTGAACTTGAAAGTAATATGCAAAGAATGCTATTTCTACAGTAACTTTCTGAATACAAAAGTATGAATTCTTATAAACTATGACTAAAGGTACTGTATTATATTTGTTGATTCTAAAAAAATATAATTAGTATTATAAAATACTAGTATTTTTTAGTCTAGGACAATTCACACAGCCCTATCAAGTCCCAAATTAAGCACAGCTTGTACAACCAACACTAAATAACTACTAAACCTAAAAATTCTCAGACACTGATATATTTTACTTATGGATACTTAAATAATCAAGGATGGTTTCTATCAGGTGAATGTGTGATCTCTCAAATTTCTTGCACATACTATCAACAACAGCAGAGCCTGATACACTTTAACAGAATAGTCAATTAAATCTTCACCATGGCTAAGCCAGCCCTTTATTTAACCAATAGGACAAGACTTTATTTAAGCCAAAATCTTCAAGCTTTATGACTTAAAACTTTCGCTGTAGATGACTCTCGACTAGGTACAGATACAGGTGCATGGTGAGCACGCCTGCCATACTCAAAACAATAAGGTAGTATACTGCATCACACGGACAAAAAAGAATAGACAAACCTTTTTTTGTTATAATTAACTGTTGTTTGGTATTCAGTAATGATTTCTGATAAAGTTTTTTATTGACGCCACTCAAGCATATACACAGAGTGCATACATATTTTAGAAAATATAGTGACCATACTCATACATACAATCATACTAATGAATGCCAATCTGTGAATCAAAGTGCAAAGTATCAGAAGGGAGGTGTGCTAAAGACTCTAGATCACAAATACTGCAGGTATGAAAATTATTGTTTGTTATCCAAGAGCAATGCCTTTCAGTCACATTTAGATCTATCAATAGTTTAGCTTTAGCACCATTATGATGTACATGATAACTGAATTGTTAATAAGAATATTCACATTGTGGAGACAAAGTGATTGTTAGTTGATTAATAAGCCCATTGCTAGCATGTACCACATCATGTTGACCTCCACACGTTTCTCCTGGAAACCATAGTGGTAAAGTGGCATTTGCCAAGATGAGCTAACATCTATACAACAAATAAATCTGGGATTTCTAATGATAGGAACTCATGGTGAGTGGACCTGACTTCATCTTATTATAATAAGATGAAGTCAGGTCACTGATGCTCCGCCAGTGAATATCAATACTTAAAAAAATTATCTAGAATCTAAACATTCCATATAAATTGTTTGTAGCAGTAAATTTACTTTAAAGCAAATCAATGAGTACAATAAAAATGGAACTGAAAATATATGACAAAATTTTTTATTAGGGGAGTATTTATCAATGTAAAAGCCAACAGGCAAACTTAACTTACCATGTATACCATTTAATGTGCAAAAGTATAAACAAATAAATAAAAAACCATGAAACAATGATTTTCTATATGATTATCTTTCTGTCTGTGTGTATGTACATGACAACCTCAGAATCGGCTTAACAGATTTGGGTGTCATTTTCACAAATGTATGTTCGAAGCTAGAGTTTCTTGCTTGGTTTATTCTAATCGGTTTCAAAACAAAAAAAATATAAGGCTACAAGGTTGCAGGTTCGGCTACAGCACATTAAAATTATTAATCTATTTAACATTGAGACTAAACTAGTTATAAAATCCAGTTTGATTTAATTAATTATATATGTATTCTAAAAATAGGCATTTAATTGGTAAATTAGAATTTCTTCTAAGAATTTAATTTCTAATTATGGTTAGGATTATTAAGTCTCTTTACAATTATTGCTAAAAGTTGTATATCACTACAGTTAAGCTACAGAAGGTAATTGTTAGGTTTAAATAAGAAGTACTTAATTCCTAAAACCAAAAATAAATGTAAGGAACAGATTTTTACTATAAGTCAAATATAAGTAAGATTTACATAGAAGTAAAAATAGTTTTTACCTCATCTGGACAGGTCTCTACTTTCACAATTTTCATGAAACTAGGCTCCGGGTATCGCTCAAACACCGACCTAACAATAACTCTCCCAACCCCCATATTCTTCAGATTTCCAACTATTTCCCAAAGTGTCTTGCCTTTAAAATTAGTTGTTCGACCCACATATTTTATAACAGGGGTAGTCATTTTTCTAGTAAATATTGCTGAAATATCTACCAATTTAATTACTTTATGTATACAATTTGAGAAAACACATGTCACAATAATACATAACTATTATGAGACAGACTATAGTCTGTTTCTGTTTTTTATCTGAGATAAATTTGACATAATCTATGTTGCCAGCTTTTTGTGATTCTTCAATAGTGCTGCTGCACTATCGGAAATTAATACTAATTACCGATTTATATCTGTTACTCTCAAATATTATGTAGGTGCTTATATAGCACGAATTTACACAATAGTTATAAAGTATTCCATAAAATGAACTCTAGTCTTTTTTTAATTCTGCAACAATTTAATTTGACGTTTCCGATGTTGCCAGGTTTTAACATTTTTTGAATAAGCACTTTCGGAAATTAATATTAATTACCCTTTTAAATTATTTACTATTAGATTACTGAAGTATGCTATTATAGTGTTTATTTAAAACACATTAACAAAAAATTAATAAATTAAAGGTATTAATGAATATAACATTTTTCACTAAAATAAGGCTAACTGCCATTTTTATAAATAATTTAAATAGGTGTTCTATTTAAAATATTTATCCATTTAATAGGAAAAAAATGTTGGTTTGTAGCTTAATATGGTAAAAATTTATATCTGTACGTAAACGACAAAAAAGTATTTTTATGCTGTATACTACAACGACATTTATGGAAACACTAGTACATGTACGTAATTTTTAAAATTCTGTTGTGGAAACGTTTTTTAAAGCTGTAAAACTAATATGTCAGTATAAAAATTTCCAATTAAACAAATCGGTATCGCAGGTACATCACTACTGCACCATAGGTGGTATCATTAATTGAAAATTTGACGTTTACTTAATTTAGTCTCCGGGATTAAAAATCAAACTATAACTATTTTTTTTTATAAAACAGAAGACCTTCATATAATTTCATATTTAATTAGACACACCGATTTAAAATATTAAGCTGTTGTTTTTGTGAAACAAACTAATAGTTATTAGCTTAAAACCGTAATCATTATTATATGTACGGAAACTGCAAAAACGTATTACATAGTATAAAACGAAGTCGCTGTCGCTGTCTGTCCCTATGTATGCTTAAACCTTTCAAACTATGCAACGAATTTTGAAGCTGTTTTTTTAATAGATAGAATAATTCAAGAGGAAGGTTTATATATATAATACATGTACACCCGTGCGAAGCCGGGGCGAGTAGCTTTATAGTTTTATAAAAATAATGGAAACACTATGTACATATACATAAATTTTAAAAGTATATAAAGCAAACGTAGGAAGCTTTAAAACTGTTAGGCCTGCAATGAAAATCACTGGCAGTTTTATATATATGTTTACCCATATCTATAAAATTGGAGTGTCTGTTTGTAATATTCAAATAACCGTTTTTTACTACATAAATATGAAATATAAATACGGTACATACGCCAAAATAATACTGTTTTTAAATGTTTGCCTACCTCTTTGTTCCGGCTAATCTCTGAAAGGGCTGGATTATGATGGAACTTTTTTTGCGAGGTTGGCTGATGTAATAAGGAGTAACTTAAGCTATTTTTATTTTAGAAAAATTCTCTAATTCCTTTTTGTTAAATTCGACGCGAACGAAGTCGCGAGTACAGCTAGTATATATATAGTATGTAATTAGTCTCACAAACATTTTTGGAATTTGGAACCCCTTATATTAAGTAAGTACATTTGTATCATTGATCATTGTCGGGCCTATTGCCTCAGCAACCTTTATTTTTATTCATTGTTGTCGAAAATTAGTTACTATCATGTGATTACTGTCTCTAACTAAGTATATTTGCAGGTGCTCCACCTTAGGCTACTTTTATTTAAGAAAAAATCTTTTATTTTAGAAAAATAAAGTTAAATTCTACGCGAACGAAGTCGCAGGTACAGCTAGTTTAAAATATAAGTATTCGTTGTATCTATTGTTTATATACACTTCTATCGCTGCATTTTCCTATATTAAACGTTATATATAATAGAGAACACTGCGTTTAGGAAATACTAAAATAAAGTAATCCATTTAATAATAATTAAAATTTAAAATCCAAACAAAAATACATTTTTGTGGTTTCGGTACACCTAGTATTTTTTACAGTATTAAGCTATTAAATTGACGTACATATTTTTTCTTTCAAACTTTAAATATTTTAGACAAGTGTTATGAAATATGAAAACGAGCTCAATAGTTTTATAAAATAGGCAGTTAATTTTTATTTTGGTGAAAAATATGTCAACAGCCCTATATTCATTAATATTTATACCTTATTAATTTTGTGTTAATACGTTTAAAATAAACACCCACGCATTATTTCTGAGTAACCTATAAAAATAGGTCAACTCTATTTAAAAATTGCAGAAGCTGGCAACCTAGATAACGTTTTAGTGGGTACAGTTATTAATTTATTGTTATTATTTACAAATATTTCTATTTATTGCGGTTTCTCAATAAATATTTTTGTAGAAAATATCTATAGGTTAAATTAGAATGAGTAATTATATAATGATACTGACTAATACTGGGAAATCCCAGGAACTTTTCTCGTTCTTGTCAGTCTTTTTCTTATCTGTGACTTAACTTATACACCTAGATACCCACATAAGGGGATCATGCACACCCCTTTACGTACGCGAATGGTTGCGCGTTCGATTCCTCGCCCGGTACAAACGTATTCATGAAGACTATAATAAATATTTACAAAAAAATGTAAAATTATGTATTTATATCAGTTGTCTAACACGAGTTTCGCTTAGCTCGATGGCTCAGTGTGAATAGTGCTCAGATTATACCATGCGCGCTGTAGCATGGTGCGGGTGACAGTTGTCTTTATTAGTAGACTAGATTATTCTGGCTGGGTTAAATTTAAATTACTACAGTTATTAATGATTTAATATATTCCGTAACATATAGTCATAATTTGTAAATTTTCAACTGTGGCGGCAACTTTCAAGAGTGAAATGAAACGTTACTGTCACCCGCACGATGCTACAGCATGCGTGGTACAGGTACTAGAACTGAAAAATTCTCACTGGAGGGTAATTTCTAAATGACATGTTTGAAATTGTAGCACAACTGTATTTAATATTGTAACTGCCTAAAACTTGCGTAGTGGAGTGGCCACATGCGTTACGAATCGCGTGTACGCACGAAGAGCTCAGGCAAGTCAACGTACACTTATATAGCAATGCTCACCGCTTACATATTAGCACAACAGTGAATCCATGCATGAATTAGGATTTATCTCACACTTTAACAGAATCACATCTTACAAAATAAGCTGCTTGGCGAGTAAAATAGGCAAGATGGAGGCACTATCGCTACTTTGTATAGTTGGATTATTTCATATTTAGAGAGTAAATTATTTCAGATTTAGCCTTTGGATAATCATATTGTACAGATTCTACTGAGAATAATTTACTAAATAGTACCACAAGATCATCTCTTAATAATATTGTGAACTCGAAAGTTTGTAAGTATGAATGTTTGTTTCTCTTTCACGCAAAAATTACTGAACGGATTATGATGAAACTTTACAGCTTATGCATTAGAATAACTCATAGGCTGAATTTCATATTGAAACTTCACGAGGGTGAAACCCCTCATGCAGAGCTAGTTATTATAAATATATAACTAGCTGTGCTCTTTTAATTTAAATAGCTGATAACTACATTCAAACATTTAGTTTTATTCCTATCAAGTTACCTACATAGAATTTGGTTATATAATACTATTACTAATCCAGTTTGACAAAAATAAAACAATATAAAAAATCAACTTCAATTTATTTCCAATTTCTTATTTTGTTATTTCATGGAATTTACGCGATACAAATGTTGTAAAATAGTTACAATAGTTAACAGTTTATTAAATTTTAAATGCAGAATTATTATAACAATGTCATGGTGCGGTTGATATTTTTGATAGCTATTATGTCTTTGTCTAAACTAACTGATACCATGATACCACTAAAAGAATAGTTTCTGTCCTAATGGCTGACTTTTTATCCTACCTTTTGCTAATAATGGGAGTTTTATTGAACTATGGATTTAATCCAAATTTACAATAAGCCCTAGATTTATATATTCCAGGCAAGTTTTAGGCATTTTAATACATACACTATTATAAACAAGCTATAATAATCATATAAATCATTAAATGTCAATAGAATACCACCAAGACCTGAAATGCCATGACATTGAATATTTCAGATGGCTTTGCAAAGAACTGTTTATCATAATAAAAACATTTAAACAAACACAAATTTGTATTACTATCGACAAGCAATACCAATATCTCAATTAACATATAAAATGTAATTTGGATAATTTATCAAGCATTCCGATAGCGTAGTAATAGTCACCTCTGGTGGCGTTATCCGTATACCTTTGCTAAGTTCAAGATTATAGTGCACGCATACGTCACACGTTAGAAGCGTGGTAGGGCCCTTTACGAGACACGACTACGCGCTCGGAGAGTGCGCAATCAAGAGGGGAATGCGGCGCGGCAGGACATGTTTCATGTCTCCTTCCGCATTCCCCTCGGACTCTTTACAAAGAAGCTATCCTTCTTGCATTCAGGATGTTTCCATTTATACGTACACAGTCATTTTTTCTAATATTGACTGGGCCTTTAAACGATCCATTATACTACATAATTTCTTTAATTTAATCGTTATAATTGTAGGCACCATATTGGCAACGTAATATATGGAAACATACCAATCATAATTTCCTACTGTTATAACTCTGTACAGCAGTCACATTCCGTTGGCAAATCATTAAAATTAAAATAAATAAAATTTAATTTAGCTATAAATTGCCTAGTTACCAACTGGAATGGGCTTTGTGAACACGCGGGTGGTGAATAACAAATCCATTCTTACAAAGGTCCGTATAAATTACAACGGACCATGATTACATATTATACTATATCTAAGCAATTGCAATAATAATTTAAGACAAATATTTACATACCGATATCTATATTTAAATAAGAAACTTAAATTAGAACAATAATTTACGATATTCGGGACATACTATTAATAGGAATCAGTCATTCAGTATATCAACAGCGATCGATTGGTAGCGGTGTCGTCTTGTAGCTCATCCTCCGGTGCAGGAAGCGTCGGGCGCGGACGTCTCTCAATGCGCTTTGGAACATATGTGGCGCCGCCCGCGACTCTCGGATCGTCCTACAGAGAAGTGCGGCAGACTGGCAGAACACAGCCGATCCCGCGCGGGCCGGCCGGTGCAGAACTTAAAGGATGCCAATATTCTGAGCACGAGTCATTTATCGCAAAAGCTGGCCGATGGTTTCAGTGCTCAACATGAAGGCTACAAGTATCCTAGAAGTATGCACACGCCATGCTAGGGCGGGGTTTGCGGATGGGGGCACAGGGCTCCCGGGGGGCCGCGGCGGCGGCGCGGTCGCGACTCGGGGCAGCGGCCATGTCGCCGCCTTAAGTCGTGTCCCGTCCATACGTGCCAATGCGCACCTCATCAATGACACGTTTCCAATTTAACGCCTCGTGTGCTGGTTCTTCTAGATAGTAGGTACGATTAGGCTGTAATAAAAAATAAATCATATGTGAATATAAGTCAACAATTTCGCCATTAAATTAATTAATTAAATGATAACATTTCAGAGACATGTACAAACATTACTTACTGTGTGCACTAAAAATATTCTAAATGTCCTCGTTTCAACGCGTAGTTCAGATGACCATGGTATTTCTCCTTTGAGCACCATATTGATGGGATCAACATAAAAGAGGCGAGGTCCTGTCGTCAGCAATAACATGCGTCTCCGTGGAAATAGACCCTTCCTTTTGTCTACTTCTCCTTGTTTCAAAATCAATTCTCCGTCGACAAATTGGTGCCATTTATTTTCGCGAGCTTGTATCTCAAGTCGACGTCGCTTTTCCTCAGGACTAATATCCAAAATTCCTGGAAGACATGGTTTTTATATTTAGTAATAATTTGATATGTGACGTAAAATTTATACACAAGTCTATCGATACTGTTATCTAATACATGTAATCTATTATTAATACAGATAATGGTGTGTAAATTTCGCAAATACGCAAAATAATAAAAGCTGATAATATTAAAGTTCTCCAGATCAGTTCAATTCTCAATTTTATTGGATCACACACACATTTGCCTAAGTATGGAACGCAAATGCAGTGCTACACCGGAAATCTGACATCATGCTTACTATAGAACTATAAACCAAGAACTGAGGACGTCCGTTCTGAATTACGAATAGCAGCAGTGTCTGCGGTGACACAGCATTATGCATACAACATGTGTAAGCATCGCATTAAAAAAATACTGTCGACAAATCGCAGTGCGACTGTCTATAGATGACTATTACTTTGTTTGGCATTGGAGTCGTATACAAAATATTGTCATTATAACACAACATAATTATTCTTGACAACATAAACATAGTTCGAACCTCAAGTTTATTTCCTCAAGGAACCATAACAACGAATCATTATAGACTCTGTTCAGTTATGAAACGAGACTCGTATAAATTTGCTAAGAATTTAGGTCATGGACGCTCCAGTTGCCTCTTACTCGTCGCTTCACTGCACTCGCTCGACTCTTCGCAATTGTCCACATCAATGCAACAAGATACTAACAAAGCCATAATATAGCTTTTAATGTATAAAGGGCACGTTAAGCGTTTTTCTATAAAGTTGCAATTTGACAATTCAATTAAAATTTGCTAAGTCATCATCATCATTGAAAATCATATACAAATATTAAAATAATTAATTAGATAAAAATGACAGTAAGTTAAAAAAATTACCTTTTGATGATGACAGTTCTAACTGCAAAAGTCGCGAAAATTTAGCAGCATCAAATCCCGGTTCCAAGTCATCAGGAACATTATAATCCTCTTCAAATGAAACGCCAGGCAAATATGGGCTAATCGTTGGTGGAGTTTGTTCACATATATTGTCCCAGTCGATTCCCGCAAAAAATGGATGTTTTCGAATGCTTTCATATGTTTCGCCTTGATCATCTGCGCCAATTCTTTTACTATGGTCTAAAACCAACAGTTTTTCAACTAAATCTTTTGCACTAGCGGGAAATCCTTCAGGGAATTCATACTCCATTTTTAGGATTTTTTGGAAGATAAGGAACTCGGTGGCAGCGCGGAATGGAGGTAGTCCTGATACCATTTGATATATAATACATCCAAAAGCCCATAAATCAGATGTACGAGTGTCTACGCAATTATGTAACAGTTCGGGACTAACATATTGAGGAGTCCCAACAAAACTTATTTTTCTCGAACGTTCATTTCTTGATTCGTCTTCCTCCTGAATACTGACACCAGATTTTATTTCCTCGGGATCCATAATTTTGGCAGTTCCGAAATCAGCTATTTGTAAGTGCATATTTTCATCAAGTAAAATATTTTCCGGTTTTAAATCACGGTGGATTATTCCCTTGGCGTGCATTTTTTCCAATGCTAATAAAAGCTCAGCAGCATAATATTTTACTACGTTTAGCTCGAAAGAGCCAACTTTATTAATATGATTTAGGAGTTCGCCATTCTTGGCATACGACAGTACAAAATACAATCTGTCCTCGTCTTGGAACGTACAATATAGCTTTACAAAGCCATGTGGAACACTAAACAACATGTTTAAAGCGTCTTTTTCTCGCTTTATATATTCTCTTTTCTTTTTTCGAATGATATGGCGTTTTTCACATACTTTTACTGAAAAAGAAAGTTTTAAATTTTAAACACTGTTTCAGAAAATAATGTTTCTCTTCCTAGATTAAGCAACTTGAATGATGCTTAAATAACATTATTATTAATATTAATAAAACAAAGTTTAAATATTAATTTTACTTACTTGCGTATTCTTTTCCACTGTGTATATCTTTAGCTAGAAATACTGAACTAAACATTCCTTCTCCTAATAATTTGCAGAATACATAGTCATTAGCTGTTCTTTTTGTATTCTTCAGAGATTGACTGGGTGCGGGTGAAGCGGTCGGCGTAGGTACAGCTACCGGAGTGGCAGGGGTTGCCTGCATTTTCACTGGCGACTCCACTACGGATTCCGCAGCAGCAATTGGAGCCCGAACTTCGTTCGGTCCTCTACCGCTGCTCTGTAACAATAAAAACGGACTTTAACTATATGTACACAAAATATATTTAGAAAGATTTTAAAATTTCACATCACAGACGTTTTGAAAGACAACGACAGCGATACTGCGTCGACGCGATTCGAAAGCGTGCACTTGTTTATCGGTCGGCGAGCACGACAGCGGTGGCAGCAGTGATGGTGGGTTGGTGGTTTACACGTCATACGCGGTGGGGGCCAGGGGGCAACGCGCCGTCTGGCGTGCCGCCGTCTCCGAAATTAGGTGACCACCACACTAAACTAAGTGTGTTAAACAAAGTCGGCCTATTATTTTCTTTCATTCAAAGTACATTCTCTATATAAATCTTTTCGGCATATGTAGATAAATGTTACTGTCAACTCCCGACATCAGTATCTAAGTACGTAATTACTTTTATAACCATAAACAATCTTACGTAGTATACAAATACGTATAAAAGATTTGTGTTGAAATACGCAAGCAGAAGAGATGGCGCAGATTAGATACATGGAAAATATGGATAAGTTTGCGTTCTTTGGAATTTGGTTACGTGTTATTTTAATTTTTTATTATTTTTATAATACTTCAATGGCAAACCGCGTGCGCTTAATATATATTAAAGTACTACTAAAGGAATAACCAACATCGATGAAATTATTTTCAAGTTTACTCCATTCACTTTGATTTGTATGGAACCACTTTCACGCAAATAATTATTTATATTGTTTGCCATTATTTTGATACAAGAATTTGTAATGAAGAAGAATTTCCTTTATATTTGAGTCACCAAGAACTTAGCAATATCAATCTATAATTAAAAATAATTCTTGTGTGTATATCGGATAGAAAGTTCGAAAGCAAAACTAAAATAAGCCGCCCATGTTCAGTGGCCTCACCTACAGTTCGATGATCTAATTTTTAGAGTTCGCGGCTCGATTTTTTGTTTATTTTCTTATGGAGGCGTCGTCAGACAAAAAATGCCGCTTCCATTCAATGTGAGCGATGACAGAAAGAGAGAGTCGCAGTTCGCAATTCTATCCCTCTCTCGCTAACTATACAACAACAACACCATTTCGCGGTTAACGGTTAACTGGTTAAAAACAAACTTAACGAAAATCGAATGAAAGTATCCTTATACCGTTGCGAAATGAGAAAGAAACGATTAAAATATTTACTTCCCAGTCTTCGTAATTTACAGCGACTTGTACATTTTGAACAAATACAAATTGCACTATACATATAATCAATCGCAGGAGTTTGATGTCATTTTTATGTTGGTATATTAAAGTTTATATACATTACGTAACATGACACAAACTAGGATTTAAATAATAATAAAGTGAATTTAAAGAAATAATGTATACTATGTAATCCATCCGACAATAATACTGTATAAAAATAGTGAATAAGATAATTATGTAATTATAAACAGACTAAAATACCGAGTAGCAGGATTCATCAAATAAGTATTTTATGCGTCACCTAATAATAAGCGAGGTCCGCACAACCGCAAGTGGGTCTCGAATTCCGTGGCGGGCGGTGACGGTGGTAGAGCAGTGCGGTACACGCCGCCGCAACGGTACTCGGAGCGCATTCCCACAGTAACGCATTCCGCAGTCGTACTCTCCATCCACGGCCGACCCCGATCCCCACTACACACGAATCTCCTGCACGTCACTACACTATTCACGCCTACCAATATTTATCTACATACGATTTTTTATTATACAAAAGACGTAGATGCAGTCAACAGTTATAGTTAAAAAGCTTTATTTCACTTTGAACACGCCGATATATCGACCGGTAACTAGCATATGATGAAAGACATTTTACAATACCAAAATTATTTCTAGAACTGTAAACATTGGAGTCAAATTAGTGCTGCATTAGCATTTGAAAAATTTCTGATTATAGAGCACCTAAAATCCTGATTGAAACTAACGTCAAGAATCGAATATATGTATATATAAACCCAAGTTTCAGCTGTAGAAATATAATATACGTGAGTGCAACAATAAGCTTCAATATCTATAATATTGATATTAAATCACGGAGGTTGGCAAGACATTACAGCCTTGTAAATAACTGGGCCGGATGTAGTGTTGTGTTGCATTGCAAATCTATTTGCCTCTCCATACTATATCCGGGTTTGAGTTTCTGAACGATTAAATTACAAGACTTAAATTCCTATGAATGTTGTGTTGACTTAGATGTTGTGTTTAATTAAACCACCCATCCAACAACCTATCAATTTATTAAAACGAGAAACTATTACACGACACAGCCAACAACTAGTTTTGATGATATACACGAATAAAAGATAGTCGTTCTATAAATAACTATAGTAAGTAACACGAGTTTGTTTACTTGGTGTGTCATTATACCTACATATTTGACGCCGGCAACAGTAATTTAGTTATTTACCGATTTATAAATAGATGAATAATCAATCATTATTTTCTGTTATTGCAACAAATCTGCCCTATTATCAGGCCATGAGTATAGTTCATGGCTAATGCAGATGTTAAACCATTCATTATCACCTATTTTTTTTTTTCAATAAACATTATATAAATAACAAAACCTGCTATGAAATATATAATGGTAGGTATTCATCTTAATTTTTGACTGATTAAAGACTATTTTGTTATTAACTCATACGTGTAGGGCAGCATTTAAACCAATTTGGCAATATATTTTGTGAAGTTATATTTATTGAGATTTTAACGTTAGTAATTCTGGAAATTATGACAGTTTGTTTTTATCGAGGATACGAGGAAAACTTGTATTTAATTATCAAATACATAGGTTTTCCTTATGACATAAACCAATATAAGGTATTCCTCGTTACGTGGCAAGGTATTCACCTTAAGGTAGTTTATAAACATTACTTTCATCAATAAAATAATACATGCATACTTTTCTACTCTATATATTTAAGAAGTCATTTGTTTATACTTAAAAGTAAATATGGATAACTACCTATATATTCAGCGCAAAATTTAAAAAGTCCGATGACATGGTAGGATTTGGAAAGGAAACATCTTTTTATACTGTAATTACATATGAAATGATGAATGCGGCCTGTGAGACGGTCGAAGTGGTAAACAAGTTGGTCACGCCGGCAACGCGTGAACAAACAAGTGCAGAGTCTCACCGACCGATCGCGCGCCACGTACAATCCCGCGTCCGCGCACTCGTCGTCATCATCGTCATCGCCGTTGTATTTTGTATGTCATTCATACGCGCGCAACTAGCCGCACAGAGCGGTCTGTTGCATACGGCGGCTACGATGCACAAGAATACACAGCGAATATGCACAATTACTTAGCTATGCGCATGGTTTTTAATCTGATGATTGCTGTATTTACCTGTGTTACCATACTACTGTCTTGTTAATAATGAAATAATCCAATAATGACGATTCACATAAATTATACAGCAAAATATTTTTGTCCTTTGACTCAATTTAACTCATGAGATATTATATTTGTGTCTAAAAATCTTTCCAACATTGTTACTTTTGCATACAATGATAATACAATAAATACTGTGAGACCATGTCAATGTAACAGTCAAAATAACGACAAGATTACAAATTAATGTAAAATATTATCTACAATAATATAATGACTTACAACTTTGATTTGCGAATAAAATGTAGGTAGCTCGAGACAGTCCCACTCACTCGACACGACAAGACAAGCGTTCGTTCCCACCCTTTCACTTTCTTGATTACAGTTATGGTATTTAGTAAAAAATGTTTTGTTTTCTTTTAAATTAGTTGCTTGAAAATAATACTGAACACAAATATCTTTTATACTTATATGCCAGTGAAACGTAAACAAGTGGGTACAGAGATTATAGAATAGCAGACGCGCAGTCATTGACCTTACCTTAGTTTTGGGCGAGGGCTGTTTCCCGCGCTTTGTAGAACTGACACCAAGTAATCGCAGAATCCTGTTGGCTGCTTCTAGAAGAGTTGCACTACCCCTCGATCCTCTTTTAACTCTGATGGCCAATCCGCTCATTTCGACCTGTCTCACTTGTTGTATCCTACCGTTTTATTAATGTTCCAAACGGTTCAAACACAGTCACAGTTCATGAATATTGTTTATCAGTCTTATAAAGCAGTTGATTTCACTACAGAAACGTGATTATAATTAAGTAATAATAGTAAAATTGACTAAGGAATGCAATGTAATGTATGAGTAATAATTACTAATAAACAAACGTATTTCTAATACCAAAGACAGCACGAGCACGTCTTGTCAAGTTAACGGCGCGTTGCGGACTGAACGTTACGAACGAATGAAACGAATAGCACACCGAAGTAGAAGCATTGACTCGGACCCCGCTCAGTCGCTAGACGGAATAATCGCACGATACGGTACGTACAACGCGTGGTGGCGGCGGCGACGGCGGCGGCGGTGGCGGGCGGCGCGGCGCGGGTTGGTGTAGTGTAGTATGTGGATGCGACTCCCCTCGCCCCTCGGCCCTCTCCACCCAGTCTCGGCTATCCGTGGGCTTAGCGCGCCGCAGGGCGATGCATTGTATGTGTACCCTCTACCTCCCGCTACCACTACTACTTGCCCAACTGTCACATTCATTTTCAAATTTGTTATTACCTACCCAATAGAAGTCTGACTAATTAGGTTTGAATTCATCTAATTCTTTACGTTAATTTTATACTTACGAAATTTTTAATTTCTAATTAAATTTTAATTCTAATTTTTAATTTAATTGCCGAATTTATAGATTTTAACGAACAAGTTAGGTATATTAGTAGGTTACTTTATGTAAGACGATAAGTACACACCGCTACAGATGGTGCGAAAACAATGAGATTAGAAAATATAAAATACCCACGTTATGCACCCACGTGGTTATGTTTTGTATTCAGAGGCGCCACTAAACAGGGCGGAGTGGGATGGGCGGAGGGGACTAGAACGAGGATGGTGGGGTGGTAGTGAGCGCAGAGTGCTGGAAATGGGAACAAAATCAATAACATCAAGATGCAGCGAGCCACGCCAACACTGCAGTGTGGCCCCGGTATTACACTTATTATTTTTTAGTATAATGTTTTAGTTTTATATAGGTACTTCGATATAACGAAAATACATGTACATTTTTGATAGAATTTTATTACAATCAATGTAAATAAATTTCCTAATTCAGTTAAACTGATCTGACACTAACAAGTCGTAATTAATGAAATTTTGTAACAAATGTAATATAAATTAGTTCGATTATAAAAGTATTTACTTATTTCATTTATTTAATGAAATCGTAGAATTGATAAATTAGTAAACCTGTCATGGAATTCTTAATTTCGTTAAAGTTTACACTATCTTTTTCAACACATTATGATATGGCTTGGTCTAATCAATTAATAGAAATAGTTTGACAATATTAACACGAAACAGATGGCATTTTATAATATATATACTATATGTAATATAACTATGTCAAGTCACATCGTAAAACGGTTTCATTGATCGATCCTAGCGTATATACGAGTAAATGCGGATTGCTAAACATGTCGACATGCTATATTACTTTTAAAATATGTATTTTAAAAGTTAACAATAATGGAACAACCGATGAAAAAGCGCAATGGTATTTTTATAAATAACAATTTCTGAAGAACCAAGAATTTATTATAATTATATATATAATATTATAAAACTCACTAGTTTGTTTGTTTGGTCAAACGAGCTAATCTCAGGAACTACAACTTTGGATTAAAAATATTTTTTGTAATGATATTGATACCCTATTCATCGAAAAAGGGTATAAGATCACTACTACAGGATTAATGAAAAATATTTAAAAACGCGAAAGAATTATTCTCTTGCATCGCGGACTATGCGGCTCAGCTATGTTATATTATTTGTATAGGACCTTAGTAGATCATAAAGTATAATTCACGTTATGCTCGACTGTTTCATTGAAAATTATTTTTTTATTAATTTAGATACACGTCACGGTTAACTTTCATAATGTATTAATAATAATATATAGTGGATGCATGAAAAAGTATTTTACTCTTGTTTTGGCAACCCAAAAATATGTAACCTACTTTTTTTCTATAATAATGATCTACAGAAATAATAATACTATTAGTAAGTAAACCTTTAATTTAATAGTAGTATCAAGCATACTACTATTAAATTAAAATGTTTATTTTCAAACACAATAGACCATTGTGGGATAGATAAGTTTATAAATAAAATATGGGTTCTATAAATAGTGGATGGTAGCGATGGCGCTGCATGGCGTTTGAATGTGTGACCGGCAGTCCTTTATATACCGATATGTTGGGAATGGCAGATTGCATGTGAGTGCATATATAGGACTTTGTATCTTTTCAAATGGGTTTGCACTTGTTGAATTTATTTTATTTAATTATTTGTTTTATTAAAATTATGAATTTAATTTTGGTGATGAAAACAATGGTAACAACGTGTTGCACACGACCGTATCGTACGGGGTCCGGGAGATAAGAGGAACACTAATTAATTAATAACCAATATTTTTTCATATATCTACCTCTACTCTTATCGTTATTAAATAAGTATTATTATTATTAAATAAGGAAGCCAACTAAACATTATTCTTACGAAACGTTTATATAATTTGAAAGAGGTTTATTTTTTCTTTGAACAAGGGTTTTTGTACGATGCAGCTGTTGTGCGCGTAGCACGTGCACGATGCACCGATGGCCGCACTCGTGCGGATATAAGTCCGATCATAAACATTTATATGCACTGACTACACGTTATCTAAGTCTCTATACCTGATTATAAAATGACTATATTTTTCATTCATTTATTATTTTTAGTGAAACGTGAAACATATATGGTCTGTAAAAGAACGAAAAACACAGATAAAAAATACAGTCGCATATATTACGTGACATCTTCACCAAATTTGCACCGATTTTGAATATTTCTTTTGCAATCCTTGGGTACAACTCTTATTTATTCAATACTACTTTTGTTACAATTAAGGTATTCTTTTGCTTGACCTTTTTTTTAATGACCATAATAATTATATTGCCTAATTTTGATACTACTTTATTTTAAAATGTCAGTACAATAATATTGCCACGTTTTAAGTCTTCGTTCCTTGTGCAACATAATTTCGTATTATGACAAAAATAGCTAACTATTTGTGAAAATCCAAAAGGAAAAATTACACATGAAGCCCTGAATCGAATTAGGCAGTTACGACATGCGGTATATGTGGAGTTTTGAAGTTAAATTTAGACTGGCTGACTTACGCTAAACCTCAATATAGTAAAACTTGAATTAAAAGGTTATTAATAGCGTTTAAACATTAAACATGTCATGCGGTTATATTATAATTCCCAGACTTATTTATATCTAGATAATTGCTATGTATGAATCATGAAACCTAATGATATAATATTTCTTTCACTGCTTTTTTATGTATTCTTTGGTTAATAGAATAGAATAGAATAGAAAATCATTTATTCAAATAAACTTACATTGAAGTACTTTTGAATAGTCATTACATTTTTTTAATCTACCGCTCGTTCGGAAAGCTGTCTCATCACAAGAAGAAACTTGCGTGTTGCTCATTTAAATAATTTTATTATTACTTTACATTTTTAAGTTTAAGTGTGTGAATATAAACCACCAATTAGCACTAATTCAACTAATGTTTTGAAAAGGATTTTTTTAATGCTGTGGATAGCAATAGAAACTATATTCCGCTTCATTTGCGTATACTTACGTAAGTTTAGGGACTTGATTCGCAATACAGCAAAGTCTGTCAACAAATATTTTATATTACTTCAGTTGTGTTATTATTACTTATTATACATAATAACAAACAGTCGCGTACGGGGATCTCCCTTATATCTACTAACTGTAAAATACTGCCAGTTATTGGCACTTGATATTAATACCATGACCGTAATTACTGTTCTGGTGTTTCTTTGATGAATTTGCATTTTAATCAGACGTTGCAATTGACTTCTCTCATTTGTAAAATAACACTTTTTATAAGCATTGTTTTTGTAGTAAATTACCGTACTAAATACTGTTTTTATTTACAATTAATTGCATTGCAGAATCGAAAATGAATTAACAGAGTGATGAGACCAACTCAGAAGCACCACTGATAAGCTAGTTTTAGAAAAATGAAACCATTCTAAATTTATTCATTACCTATAGTCATTGTAAATGACCATTAATAAAAAATAATATTATAAGGACAAAAATTATAAGCAGCTTCTATAAAAAAAAATTTGGTTTATGTATTTATGTAGCATAAGCTGAAGGAGGAATTGTCAATATAACATTACAGGGTGATAACATCTAGGGTCACCAAATAGATATATTTGGTGACCCTAGAACACAGATAATTTTCTAATTTCTTTGAAAATAGTAAGATATATGCATAATTATTCATTTCTAAATTACCATGATCTGTTCAGACTCTGTGTTATCTTATGCAGAAGTCGAGCCGTTTCATGATACTATGTATTAAAGTTAAAGTAAGAAAGAATTCCAAGCCAAAGCCTGTCCAATCCAGGTCCTGTCGACGTAGACAGGGATGCTACATTGCGAGAAACTCTATATATAGATACATAAATTACTACAAGGAAAACTTGGTAAATTTATTACTGTAAACTTAAACAACACACAACATACTATATACAGTAACAACAAAAGAAAAGGAAGTTTGTTGTAATAAATTACTATTTTAAAATAAATACTTAGCTTTTATTTAAGCAGTGGTATAATCTGCATTTACCTTGCATGCTCACAAATTTACTATGTAATAATAAAAAAAATATGTCTGCCTGTGTTTCGCTTTCAACGAAATAATATACGATTAGGTACTCCTAAGTAAACTCCCGAAGCGTTCGTTTTTTCGGCTTATTTAGGTAACGTGGTTATTTTATATATTATGTATCCATAACAACGTAGCTTCCTCAAAAAAAAAACGTAACCGCAATAAAATCTATTAGATAGATTTTATTGCGGTTTTCTCCATTACCACTTAGGTACTTTACAGGCCTACGCAAATACATAAACCAGAGTGACGCGAGGGGCAACCTCGTTATTGGCATTATTTAGATTAGAGTAGTTATAATTATTGTAAAATATATAAATAAACACAACAGTCTGCAAAACCAGATGGTACGGAGGCAATTTTTTGCCGACTCAGTAGATACAATCGAGCAACCCCTGAACCACCCGACGTTTCGGTTCAAAACAAAATAAAAGCTGCGGCGAGCAATGAACCTTCCACCTGGCAATGTTTTTATATGATATCTCATATTCACTTCACATGGTGTTGTTAAACAGGCAAGTAAATTTATGAATTTTTGACTTCTTGTATAAATTTATGTTTTCTACTACTGCTTAAATTTATTTTCTTTTCATGTCATATTTTCAAATCAAAAGACTTACCAATTGATCGATTTCATCCTGATACATAATCAAGATTAAACCGAATAAATCGATAACAATGTCCGTTGCTTTCTTCACTGATCACGGAATATGGAATCAATACGCTGCTAGTACCTATATATAAATGGGAGAATAATACAAAGGGCAAAACGACGAAATTCATAGACATCATATCCGAATTAATTCCTAGAGCAGACTAGCTGATAAGGGGCATTGCAATGGACTTATTAACCCCATACGTAGTCCTTAAGTAGGCCGTTTAAGTTTTCACTATTATTTAATTCGGATGATTGTCTAGGGCACGTTGACGTAATCAAAATTTTCACACGGCAAATATAAAAAAATATAGGTCGTATTATATAATATGTTCTATATTTTTTTATGTCAATAGCGTCGGCGCCGCGGCGTGGTAGTGACGCCATGGTGGCGGTCACTAGTACATGTGGCGCCGTCGCCGTAACATTATCATTAGATAATATATTCATATCATATGATATCGATCGTTAAAAACATATATGTATATAATCCAAACAATAATACGTATTATCAAATTTATTGCGAAATTATATTACGCTCCAGGATGAGGTACATACAAACGTCTTC